GAGAAAGGACCAGTTGTTTATATATCTTTTTCACATTTCTGACCTAATATCCAACATCTTTGTTTTCCCTTATCAGGCAATAGACAGGGTTAGAGGTTAGCTAGGGTCAGGCAACAGATGGAAAGGCTTCCAGCAGCCTGGTCTCATGGGATGGAGGGAAGTGAGATTGAGCCAGAGAGGACGCTCTCTTTTTCACCCATCAGAATGAAATCGCCCCTTTGCTGATGGCAGCTTGCATCCCCACATCCCCTTTAGGCCCCAGCCATGACAAAACTTCTCTACCCCGATCGTGCCTGGACTCTCAATCAACAGGATCTAAGTGTCCTGAGAGGAGGGGCTATTTCCTTCTTGTCTTACATCCCCAACCCCTATCACAGTGCCTGGTCCATAGTGGTTATTCAATAAATGCTTATTAACTGATGGATGGATTGGCTTTAGGGGGGAGGGGCTGTAGCATTGCTTTGTTTGGTATGCTTCCATTTATACCATTAAGCCTGGAAGTCCGAAATGACAATCATAGAAATGGTGGTCATCTCATCTACCTACTTTATTTTAGAGAGAGAAAATGAAGGTGAAAGAGAAACAGATTTCTCTAAGTCATAAAGCCTGGCGGGGCCAGGACAGAAAACCAGGTGTCTTAATTCCCCATCCAGTCATGGCAAACTTCCGCCAGAACAGTGTACCTTCACAAGGGTTTTTAACCTGGAGTCTATGAGCTTTGAGATATATACATATGTATGTATGTATGTATATACACATACCCATACACACACATACACATATATCTATCTATATACATATACATACATGCATCTATATATATATATACATATATACACACATTTATACATATATACATATATATGTAACTATTTTTCAATATGCTTAGTTTCCTTTGTAGTCTTTCGTATCTTATTTTGTAAATTTAAAGACCTGATTCTGAGAAGGGGTCCATTTTTCTTCTTGTTCTGTTGTTTCAGTCATTTCCAACTCTAAAGAACCCAATCTGGGATTTTCTTGGCAAAGATACCAGAGTACTTTGCCATTTCCTTCTCCAGCTCTTTTTAAAGAATGAGGAAACTGAGGCAAACAGAATTAAGTGACTTGCCCAGGGTCACACAGCTAGTAAGTGTCTGAGGCCAGATTTGAACTCAGGAAGATGAGTCTTCCTGACTCCAGGCCTGGCACTCTATTGTGCCACCTAGATGGCCCCCACAACCCCAAGATACTCTAGCCTCTGTCATTATATAGGGTACAATATGGAAGTCCAATGTAGGAAAGGGACAAGCTTAGTCATGGTCACAAGGTAGTTGCTAGTAGACCCACATACATGTTAGTTATTGTTATTATTATTCTACCTCTCTGTTATACAGCTACTAAGTGTCTGTTTCCCCTGCCCAGCATTCCATCCCATCTTTCCTTTGCCCAAATTGCGGACAGCTTTCCTTCCTTACCTCCTCCTCCTCCTCTTAGACTCTGAGCTTCAAATGCCACCTCCTATGGGAAGCCTTTCCTGATTGCCCTAGTTGTCAGCCCCTACCACATCACTTTGTATTAACTTTGTATCTGTTCTGCGTTTGCTTAATAGTATTTGTAAAGTGCGTAGCACAGTGCAGGGCACATAGTAGCTGCGAAATAAATACTTTTTCCCTTCCTTCTCCTTATATCCATGTTCCACACACAATTCCCCCCCCCCAAATAGAATGGAAGCTTCTTGAGGGCAGGGACTATTTTATTCTTCTCTTTGAATCCTCAGTACCTACCATAGTGCTTGACACACAGTAGATGCTTTAGGAACGCTTGGTGAATGAATGAAAAAGACATTCTGTGATTTTTAGGGGTGTGGTTTGCTTCGGCTGCTGCCCGGCAGAACCCCACTAGCTGTTCCCTGAATTGATGTAAGACCTTGGAAATTCACCCTGACCCCTTGATTGGGGGAGTCCTGTGGCCTGGGTAAAATGAGTTCTTTGGGGAGGGTAGGCAGGACGTGGCCACTTGGCAGGGGTTGTTGCTCAGTTGTCCATATCACTTCTTCCTGGATTTTTCTGATCACAGTTGCCTGAGCCATTCCTTCTCAGGCAGTGGCTAGTTTTCCCTCTGTTTGGTGATCTGCAAGAGAGGAACCTTTCCTCACTGCACACTCCTTTCTACTGGGGCTAAGTCATCAGACTGAACCTGGAAGGCAAGGGGAAAATGAGCTTTCAAATAAAACCTAGCTCTAGTATAGTCTACAAAATCCTGGCGACTTCTCCATTGACTGGAATTTCTCCATTCTCTGTGGCTGTCAGCATCTTGAACCTGGACAGGCAGGATGTACTTAGTAGAGAGGGCAAAGTAAATGAGGTTTGTACCGCTGTTTTTTTCTGTATCACTTTGGAAATGGAGTGTATAATGGAGTATGGGCAGCTGGTGGGGAGGGGAGAGATCACTGGGACTGAAATTAGGAAGACCTGAGTTCAAATCCAGCCTCAGACACTTACTAGCTATGTGATCCTGGGCAAATCCCTTAACTGCTGTTTGCCTCAATTTCCTTATCTGTAAAATGGGGATAGTAATAGCACTTACCTTCCAGGGTTGTTGTGAGGACCAAATAGATGATAATTATAAGTGCTTAGCACATAGTCAGCACTATATAAATGTTAGCTGCTACTACTACTATTGTTATTATACACTTATATACATACATATATTATATACCTTTTCATCATTAGATTGTGAATTTCTTTAGGGTAGGGACTTTTGCCTCTTTATATCCCTAGTGCTTAGCACAGTGTAGGTCCTTAATACATATTTATTAATTTATTTCATACATACATATATGTATATACACATAGTGTGTATATATGTATATGTGTATATAAATATATGTGTGTGTGTGTATATATGTATGTGTGTTTTATATAGAGAGATATAGATATGATATAGATGTAGATATGGGCAGCTAGGTGACACGATAGATAGAGTGCCAGGCTTGGAATCAAGAAGACTCATCTTCCTGAGTTCAAATCTGGCCTCAGATACTTACTAGCTGTGTGACTCTGGGCAAGTCACTTAACCCTGTTTGCCTCACTTTCCTCATCTGTAAAGTGAGCTCGAGAAGGAAATGGCAAACCACTCCAGTATCTCTGCCAAGAAAACCCCAAATTGGGGTTATGAAGAGTCAGACACAACTGAAAAATGACTGAACGACAACAAAAAATATATAGTTATATGCAAAGTATGGTATGGTCTGGGCAGTTAGACTCCCCATGATCCCAGCCATCCAGAATACAGCTCTAAGTACAAAAGTAAGTGAAAAATACCCCCTCCCCAAGTGGCAGATGGCTCACAAAGCCCTTGGATTGTATTCTATATAAGAGCAGGAACAATCCCAAATCAATTTTATGTCAAATAAAACAGTATTAGCTTCTATACACACACACACGTGCACACACACACCACACACACATATATCCACACACACAGATATCTATAAAGATATATATAGGGGCAGGTCAGTGGTGCAATGGATAGAGCACCAGACCTGGATTCAGGAGGACATGAGTTCAGAATCTAGCCTCAGACACATAATACTTACTAGCTGTTGTGACCCTGGGCAAGTCACTTAACCCATTGCCTAACCAAAAAAAAAAAACTAAAAAGACAATAAAGATATAGATATAGATATCTATGTATCTACATCTATAGATACATCTATAATGTATGTGTATAATATGTATATATAGACAACAGCAGACAGAAACCAGAGAATTTATGCTACAAAAGCACCCCGACTTTAGGCCATTTAGTGTAGGGGCAAGCTGTCCTACACACTTGCATACCAGCTAAGAAGTGGATCACTGTCTAATCCCTCAGTCCAATTAGTGAGGAGCATAATGACCCAAAGGTGGTTAAGTGCCTAGAACATAATAGGATTGTTGAATTGAAAAGAGATGAAATTTAAAGAGAACTGACTTACAGTCAAGCAGAAGGATAAAATACAAACACAGGTAAAGCTGTAATAATACATAATCATTAAAAAGGATGACGTTGAAGTTTGGGTGTATAGATGGCTAAGGTTTAGGTGGAAGGCTTATAGGCTTAGAGCTCGAAGGGGTCTTCGAGGTCATCTGGGCCAACGCTCTCATTTTACAGATATGGAAACTGAGGCCCAGAGGGCTCATGTGACTTGCCCAAAGTCATGTAGCATGACAGAGTAAGGGTTTGAACCCAGGTCTTCTGACCTCAAATCCCATTCCCTTTTCTCCATACCATACTTCTCACTGTATAATGCCAGCCTGATTAAGATGTCTCCCCCATGGCATTTCTTGGTGAATGCATGCCGCTCAGTACTGTGAAGGGAGACAGTGTGGTATGGTAGAAAGCGCACTGGATGAGGAATCAGGAATCCTGAGTTCTCATCCCAGACCTGCCAGCTAAGTCATTGTGCATACAGTATACCTCTCGGAGCCTCATCTCCTTCTTTGAAAAGTGAGGGAGGTAGAAAAATGTTCCACTGATTAGTGTTATATCCTTCCAGATACAGAATCATACAATGTCAGAGCTAGAAGGAGCCATCCAATCCAAGGGCGCTGATTCTGGGGTCTGTAAACTTGGTTTTAAAATAGATGTAGAGAAATAGATTGTAAACTTGGTTTTATATATATATATATATATATATGGGGATATATAGGTATATGTGTGTGCACATATGTACATATGTGTGTATATATGTATGTGTATGTGTATACATATACATATACATATATACATACACACATAAATACACACATATATATGTATATATATGTATGTATATATAAACAACTATTTCAGTAGAACTGGTTTCCTTTACAATTTCACGCCCTTAATCATATGCATTTAAAAACCTGATTCTGAGGAGCCCCTAGGCTTCAGCAGACTGCCAGAGGGGTCCAGAACACACAAAAATGCTGGGCCCCTGCTCGAGTTCGTCTTCCAAACACCCAGTACAGCATCTAATCCCCCTCCTTCTCTCTCAGGATTCACCAACAAATAAGCTCCTATATGCCAAGGAGATTCCTGAATACAGGAAAATTGTGCAGAGATACTACAAACAAATTCATGACATGACTCCTCTCAGCGAGCAGGAAATGAATGCCCACCTCGCTGAGGAATCGCGGGTAAGGAAGAAGCCTGAGGGGGTCTTGTCTTGGGCATCAAGGAAGCGGGACCACACGGGTGGCCCAAAGTAGAATGCCCAGGAGGAGGTCTTCCTGATCAACATTGTCCAGGGATGGAAATTGAAATGGTTTCTTCTGAGAACTTAGATGGGATGGGAGAAGGCTAAACTAATTCTGGGGTGCTGTTCCTCATTTTCATCCTAGGATTGATCCCATGGGAGGCCCAAGCCAAGCTCCTTTGTTACAGTGTGATGTGTTTGGGAGTAGGGGAGACAGGGAAAGGAAGAGGTCCACTATGTTTCACCCACTACCTTAAAAAAAAAACTTTTCTATCCAGTTTTTATCCTTTCACAATGGGCAGAGGAAGGATTCAAACTTGGATCCTCTGGGCAGCCATTCTATCCATCACTTAACACATGGCTGAGATAAGCCAGAGCCACAATAGTCATGTTCTTCCCAGTCAGAGGGTCCGTCTCACAGCTAAAGAACAGGTGCCATTTACTTCCCCTTCTCTGTAGTTAACTATCCTTCACCTCCACTCTCTCTTTTTCGTTAGAAATATCGGAATGAATTCAACACTAAGGTTGCCATGGCTGAGATTTATAAATATGCCAAGAGATACCGTCCTCAGGTAAGCAGCACCATCCGCCTGGAGGTGTCTCAGGTCTCTGAACAAGGGGAATCTGCTCCTTCTCCTCTGACCCTCCAGATTTTCTCAAAAACTGCTTTATCATAGAGAGAGGGCCAGTTCCAAGAGAGATCAAGAAAGAGGCAGTACGTCTCTTCAACCTTCACTTTCTTCTGTTTTTTTTGTGGCCTTCCTTTCCCTTCCAGATATCCAGGACCCCTGTGTTGCCTCTTCAAAAGCATCTGATAGGGGTAGCTACGTGGTGCAGTAGATAAGAGACTGGCCCTGGACATGAGTTCAAATGTGGCCTCAGACACTTGCTAGCTATATTTAAAAAAAAAAAAAAGCAACCAATAAATCAATTTACACTCAAGGTCAAGTTCAGTCCAGTCATAAATTTTGTCCCCTTTCCAGAGAATTTTGCATTTTAATAGGAAACCTCAGGGAGAAAGCAGTGCTTGACTCAAGGGGAGAAGCTTCTAATGGTGGAATTTCAGGCATTGTGGGAACTTGGGGAGAGGAGATATTTGAGGGAGTGGAAGGACCTTTCCTATCGACCCCCAATTTCACTATGTAGGGGGATGCCCACAGATTCTACCCACTTGTGCCCAAGGGTTGAACCATCCCCTAAGAGGCCCCATTAACAGTCTCCCTTGTCCTCTCTTCCCAGATTATGGCTGCACTAGAGGCTAATGCAACCACACGCCGGACACAGCTGCAGCACAAGTTTGAGCAGGTCATTGCACTCATGGAGGATAACATCTATGAATGCTGCAGTGAGGCCTGACACCCTCTCCTCACAGCCGGGCTGGCCCTGCCCCACCCCTACCCCTAGAAGTGACCTTCTGCTATCCAGTGCACTGCTAACTCTGAGACGTCTTTTTAAAAAAAGTATATATATATATATATGAATATATATAATATAGACAATAAATATCTATTTTATGGTGTGCTGTATGGTGAAGAAGAGGAAGAAGAAGAAGAAAGCAACCCATGGATGAAGGCCCCAAAACACAGGATAGGATGGGAGACCCACTGAAGCCATGTTTTGTCTTTTCTTTGATTAATTTTATTTTTCAAACACTTGTACAGCCCGGGGCTGAAGAAGAACAAAAATGTCTAACAACACTTCACCAAAAAAAACCTTCCTTCAGCTGGAACAACTGTTTCCCCTGAGACTCCCTCTCAAGAGTGGAGCTGGTCACTCAGATAGAATCCTGGCCCAACCTGAGCCACAGTTGGGCCATGTCTGGCCACTGCTTCTTTGCAGACGTCAGTCCTTTGTCATCATCTTCCTTGTGGCCCAGCTACCACTGCGTGGTCTCTTTGTCCATTTCCATTTCTACAGGGTTACCTGCCCCATAAGTGGAGGGCAGGGATAGGGAGAATGAATGGAATGGTGTCACAGGACCAGCTAAAGCACCAGGCTAGAGAGTTGAGGGACTGTGTCCCCTGAATGTTTTCTGCCTCGACTCTTCCCCTAAACTTGGGGCCACTGGTACCTCGCAGAGGGCTGGCCCACAGGATGAGGAGTAAAGAATGCTCACCTCTCTTCCTGGTGAGCGTGTCATCCCCAGCCCCTACTAATCATATGCACACATACACACACACACACACACACACACTCACACTCTCTCACTCCTACTCACATGCACTCACTCTGGAGCATATCAGTCCTATTCCAGATGCCCCAAGAAAGAGAATTATCCCTGCAACACAGTGGGCAAAAAATGCTGAATTTGGATTCAGAGAACCTGGGTTCACATCCTGGCTCTGTGACTTTGGACAAGTCACTGGACCTCACTTTTCTCATCTGAAAAATGAGGGGGAAAGGGGTTGGAGTAGTGACCTCTAAGTTACCTGCCAGCTCTGAATCTTGTGATCCTTAAGACAAGACAAAGAAGGATGTGGGTTTGGGGGAAGAAGACTAAGGTGTCAGGCCCTGGAATACCACATGTCTGGAGAGCTATTCCTTACATCCTTTTGGGGGAAAGTCAACCTCTATCCTACATCCCAGAACAGCTAGGATATCTCCAAACATACCCCTCCCTAGATCAAGTCTAACACACTGACAGGGAGACAGGCTTAGGTTAAGAACTGTACAAACGGAGAGGTCTTAGTTTTGGGGCATCTCATGCATTCAAGAAATGTTCATGGGCGCAGACTGGCAACTCCAGGTATATCCTTTCTTTACCCTCTAAGATGGTGTAAAATTCCCTCCCTCCCCTTGCCTCAACCATCATCCCAGTTTCTGAACTTGTTATCAATATTGCCAAAGGCATGCACGCGCACACATACCCCTACACCACACACACACACACACACACACACACACACACACAACACACCCTCTTCCCCATAGCCACTGAAGACGGCTGCACTCAGGCCTTCCAGGGGCTCAGATAGAACTGCATGGGGTTGACCCCGGACCAGGGCAGCTGGAAGAACTGTATGGAAGGCCAAGCAGGGGATGGGTACCGGGGCTCTGATTGTCCCCATCACCAAAGGGGTACCAGCGCCAACCAAATGCTACCTCATCCAAGCTAGGCCCTAGAGGGGAGAGGCCGCCGTTGACCACAATGGTGCCACCAGCCTTAACAAGCAAACTGCCATTTTATTTGTTCTTTGGTTCAATGACAACAACGAAATCCCCGAGTGAATGGGGGAGAGGGAGTTGGGTTGCAGGCATGACACCCAGATTTGCAGCTTCCAAGGCACCTGCTGGGCATCCCTACTAGGATGGTGACAATTTCAAATTTCACACGGACGGGACAGGCTGATGGAAGCTGAGATGGTGAGAACATATGGACGAGAAGCTGCCTTCCATGACGAGTGGGAAGCTGGGCCTGTACATATTCCACCACAGACCAGTTCTCCCTCGACTACGTGTCTGGAATAATGTGCCGGATGGACAGACCAGGGTTCTGCAAGTAGCCATACCCAGAGAGGAAGAGGGAACAACAGAAGGGGCAGAAAAACAGTGGGGAAATTAAAAATAGGTGGCTCTGAGAGCATGCCTATTGGAGGGGAGGAATTTCCAGACGAACCAGGGTTGTAGCTGGGCTACGCTGGACTTTCAAAAGAGGTTTCTAAAAATAGCACCACTTTTTTTTTTGCTAAGTTTTTTATAAAAAAAAAAACTACACACAAATCGCAAACAAACTGTGAATAGCAGCCAGATTGCTTGAAGGATACAGAGGCTAATGGGAAGGAATGAAATGGGAAGATGGGAATTTTGTAGCAAAAATGGGAGGTAACAGTGGTCCTCCCCAGCCCCCAGGACTTAGAAGTGCCTGGAAAGGGGCAATCTTCACTTGACACTGGAAAGGTAACACTCCTCAGAAAGCCGTGCTCCTCACGGGGGTATCAGAGGGAGGTTATATCCCAATCTCCCACTCCTCAGTTTAAAAAGCCAAAAAAAGCATTTTAAATTAAAGATACTGCCCCCCTCAACAAACTCTCACATTGGTCCTTTCAGGAGAGAGAGACCAAGCCCCTGGCTTTTCTTTCCTTTCATGGAATGATTGGCAAAGGGTATCTATACTGCTGTTCAAGAGGATGGGTGGGGAGGGAGGGAGCTTTGGAAACTTCTTTGTAATAAAAACAGGATGAGAGAAAGTGTGGCTGTGACATTTACTATGTAAGAGCAGAGCAGTGAGAACCAGGTCTCCAGGTCTGGCAGGGGCTACAGGAGAGAGACCACATAGGAGGAGGGAGGGGAGAGGGGAGGCCCAGCTGGGATTGGGGGTAGAGGGAGGTCCAGAGAGCATTGGAACTCAAGGGCAACAGCTGAGGTGAGAACATAAGCAAAGGTTAACTGAAATATCAACTCCTTCCTCCCCCCAGTAGGCTGCATAACTACACTCTACTATTCTTTTAATTAAGAGGATGCAATCCTGCAACACATTTCATCTTGATGCTGTCACTGTGTGACCTTGGGCAAGTTATTTCAAGGCCAAGGCCTCAGTGTCCTTAACTATAAAAGGTAGTCATTCAAGTTCCCTTTCCTAAAGCTCTGATCCTACAAAATCACCAAGTTTTCCACAGAGAAATGTAAGTGACAAAAGGACACATTCAAAATATGGAGTTTCTCTGAGTCCCACCTAGGCAAGGCCAACATCCCATCCCCTCCTTCCTTCCCATAGGGGAGAGTGCCCTCTTGGCCCCAGAGGATGCATGTGGACTTGAGTCCAGGTGAAACTCTCTAAACTCCTAGGTAGCCAGAGATTTTGGCTTCCCAGGAGACAACATGGTACAGTAGAAAATGTGCCATATTGGGAAAATGAGCCTGGAATGAATTGAGTAAATTCACTTCTTCGGGTCTTGGTTTCCTTGTCTTGCAAAAGGAATTGAACTACCTCATAGAATCTGAGAATTGGAAGAGAACTTATTGGCCATCTAGGCCAGCCCATACACTGGAACACACCTGACAACTGGTTCTCCTACCTCTACTTGAAGACTGCCTAGGAGGAGGAACATACCATCTCCTTAGGTCCACTTTTGGCCTCCCTAATTAGTGAAGTTTCCCCTGACATCGAGTCAAAATTAGCTTCTTTCCCATTTCCACCCATTGCTATTGGTTCTTCCCTCTAGGGCCAAGCCAACAATTTCAATCCCCCCTCCCCATAACAGCGTTTCAAATACTGGAAGTCGGCTAACAAGCATCTGCTCCACTTAGTCTTCTCTTTTCTAGGCTGGATAAGCCCAGTTCCATCAACTGACCATTACATGACATGGATTCAGAGCCTTTCATCATCCTCTGGACACTCCAGCTTATCAATGTCCTTTAACTGTGGCACCTTGAACTGAACACAATACCCCAGCTGACACCTAACAGAGGCCAGTGGGACTATTGCCTCCCTCTTCCTGGAAAATCTTTTGGCTGCCCTATCACACTGCTGACCCCTGTTGAGCTTGCGGTCCCCAGATCTTTTCACAGAAAAACTGCTACCAACCGTATCTGCCTCATACTCATGAAGCTGATTTTTAAAAAAATATCCATAGGTACAACTT